TTTGTGATTGAAATGTTACAGGTTGCACTAAAAAAAAAAAGCCCCATGGAGGCGAACATGTGGCTGAATGAGCCATCTGGAGCGCACAAAGGAGGCAGACAGACACTCAGCCTCCCGCATGTCGCTCCGCCAGATGGACAGCATGCCTGCTTCACGAGATAACTAGCTGGCTAGCTGTGCCCCCCCCCCCCCCCTTTACATTTAAACACAAACACCAAAAACCCCACGCCACGCAGTCAACATAATGTGCCCACCGGAGACTGGAAACACGAGCGACGTTCAGGCGCTCACCTCGCTTCAACGCTTTCATTCTTTGTTGATGGGGGCTCGCGCTTGAAAACGCGCAGCTGTCCAAGTTGCTCCACAAAGGAGCCAAACGATGGGTCGACTCAGCGACACTTTCTGCCAAGACTCCCGAGGTGTTGCGCTGTCCTCCGAACTAAAAACCGCACTTTTTAGCTTCCGCCGCAAGGATGAGCTTCCACGTTTCCATTGTAGTCCTCGCTTTCCAGCAGGATGAATGTTTCTGTTTTTTCTTTCCTTTCGTTTGCTCGTTTTTTTTTTTTTTTACCTGAACGCAGCCTCAGCGCCAGTAGCTTTGCTGATCTTGACAGTCGAAACAGAAATAGTCCCGCCTCTGTTTGCTCTTAGCCAATCAGAGCTCAGTATTATGCTTCCCTGGAAAGTCGTCAGCCAATGGCGGCTCCCGCTGCAGACAGCCGTTTGACTCGGTGTTGTTGTGACGGACAGGAGACCCATTTCATTCAGAATGCAACACTGACGGTCGTTGGAACATTATTTTGTTGATTTGAAAAATCCAAAGGGTTAAATCAATGCAGTTTTAATACAATGTGGCAACTTTTCAATATATTTCACTCAGTATGCCTCTAGTCTTCAGGAAATGGCTCATGTACGTTTACATAATGTGCAAAATGCTCTGTTACATAAACCATAATCGCCCAAAGGTGACTAAAACTGACTGAGCTGTGGTGCCATTGACTAAAAAGTCTCGAATCAAACTGTTTTCTTGTGATGAACAGACATTATTTCTATTTCTACAAATAGTCTATGCTTGAGGGGAATGTGGGCTTGTGTACAAGAGGAGAAAATGCATGAAATCTCAGTAGACATTTAGACTTTAACCAATATTTGAGTTTATACTCTGTCACTATGTTTAATTTACAGTTTAAAATAGTAAATTACACAATGTGTAATAGAAGGATTTTAAATAATTTCAAATAAAAAACGTTCAAAACCATCCATTCATTATTTTTGCCTGATTCTTCCTGTCTGGGTCGCGGGGGGTCACAATCCAAACGCATTATTCATTTGTACAGGTTCGTCTCATTGAGTCACAAAGACTCATTTACGAGAGAGACCTGTTTTTATTATAACTCTAAAACGAAGACAAATCATTCCTTTTTTTTGTAATAACTGTGCTGGAAAGAATAGCCTCACACAAACGTTGGTTACGTACTGTAACCCCAGATTCTATGAGTATAAGCGTAGCCCTTTAAGGCCTTCGCTTTAGTGGGTTTATCCCGTTATGCAGAGCATAAGCACTGAAAAAAAAATTAGTCCACGCCCACCTGCTGTGTGGGCCCCACCCGGTCCGTATAAATTACGTTAAGAGCGGGAAATCGGCTCCCAAAATAGCTTTTTTCTTCAGCCATTTAGGAGCCAGTGAGGCCCGACGCTTAAAGGGCTACGCTTATACTCATAGAATCTGGGGTTACAGTACGTAACCAACGTTCTATGTCGTATAAGCTTTGCCCTTTAAGGCCTTCGCTTTAGTGGGTAAAGGGCGAAGCCGATGTGGTCCTCGCCTCACTGGGTCCATTCGAACACAGTAAGAAGCGGAAGCTTGCCCAAAAAACGTCTTGTCACCCAGCTCCCCGTGTGCATAAACTACGCATCGCGTAATTATGTGCCATGCACAGACGCATGTTGAGTAACTATGCGTTCTGACAAGCATGAATACCCCGGAAAACTTTCAACGGGAAGAGGAAGTTGAAAAGAGGGGGGGGGAGGGGGGCATGAACCAACTGGTTCATGGCTGAACAGTATAAACAGATTAATGTCCATGAATTGATAAATAATCAAATGAACTGATTGGTAACAATAATCATGAACTGATTAGTGACAATAGAACCAGAAACACAGACACGACTGTGACTGATAACAACATCTCACACTGTAATGCGTGCAGACAGAAGTGAGCTTAAACAGAGTTCCATGAGAACAACAATATTCATTCTGTTAGAGCACTAAGGACAGAATGTGTCATGGAACGAGCCGTTACATCACGTAGGTAAAAGCGAATAAATGAGCAGGGTGTTGACCATGCAGCCGCAGTGCAAATGTCCTGCATTGACATACCATTATGCAGAGCAGTCGAAGATGCGATACCCCTGGTCGAATGTGCTTAGAGGTTGACAGGAGGCCCTAAATCTGATGCTCTGTAGGCTTCAGAAAAGGCCTCACACAGCCAGTGTGACAAGCGCTGGATGGATAACGGCGACCTGCAGAAGCATCTCTATAATGCACAAACAATTGTTGAATTTGAACGCATTGCAGCTGTGCGCGTTACGTAACACGTCAACGCCTGCACCGGGCAGAGAAGATGAACAGATGCTTCCCCTTCTGATCTGTGGGAGGGAAAAACCCCTCCAACGATATCACTCTTGATTTAAAAGAGCTCGTGATGTTTTAGGCATAAAAGCTGGGTTGGTCTTAAATCAGCTGAGCTGCCCGTCAGCCTAATTCTAAGGCATGACGAAGCAACAGAGAGGGCAGATAAATACTTACCCTCTTAGCGGGTGTTAAAACCAGCAACAGGGCTGTTAAAAGAGACAAGAATTTAAATGAAACCTGATCCAGAGGCTCAATTGAAGCTTTGATCAGGGCTCGCAGGACCAGCGTTAAACCCACTGTGGAACAAGTGGGCGTGAAACAGGCCTACATCTCTGTACACCTTTTAGAAAACGCTTCATCAGCGGGTGATAAAAGCTGTTCTGTCTCCAAACCCTTTGTGGCAGGAAGAGATGGCTGCAATCGTACGTTAAAACGTACTGAAAGCCAACTCCCTATCCATCAGCTGTTGTAGAAAAACAACACGCCGCCTAAAAGGCATGAAGTGGTCTCTAAACCTTCTCTGTGCACCAGCGCTGAAAAGCCGTCCCCTTGATGTGTACAGAACTGTGGTAGATGCAGCACGTGAATCTTGAATTGTGCACATTATCTCCTGAGGGAGACCCATCCTCTAAGTGGAACCGCTCAGCGGTCAGACCCACCGGTGTTGACCTATTTCTGGGTAACTCTTGGTCGCTCCTCCTGCCTGAAGGAGAGCATCCTTCCTCCATGACAGTTCCACGGCGACCCAACAACAGACGTTGCAGGCCTGGGAACCATAGTGCGTTCACACGCCGGGAGCCACCAGGAGAGCTGTCAATCCCTCCTCTTGAACTCGGTTCATGGACCGTAAAAAACAGAGGAGGTGGGGGAAAAGAAACGCGTAAAAAGCATTTTGGGCCACCGACTGTGAACAAATGCGTCCCCCCCCAGCGATGGATCGTCTCGCGGGCTCA